AGAATTCTTTCATTCACAGCATCCAATATTGTCTGGAACAAAACGAAGTCGATGATTTCTAACCCCCCAGAGAATCAACTACTTAGATCTATTGTGCAGAGAACTTTGTAATTTATCGAACTATAGAATTTACTGTAGGTTGTGAAGAAGGGGGAAGAGAAGAAAAAGAAGAAAAAAAAATATGTGAAGATAAAAGCAATGAATAAAATTTAATTACTCTGTCGGGATGATGTCATTTGCGGAAAGAAAACTTTTAACCATCAAAAAATTAATTTCGTTTGGGTTGAGTGTTAATTTTTTTTTCTTTTTTTTTCCTGTTTTCTCGAAGCTGCAGGCGTTGTGTGTTGCCGGAAAGTAATTCTTTCAAGTAATATCCTTCTAGCACTTTCCTCTACTCCACCATTCTATAACTTCTTAATACTCAAAAGAAACATGTAAAGTACTTTACAGTCTAAAACTATGACTTCTTACTGAATTGTAACTAAAACTTCACACTGGTTTCTAAGTAATAAGCAGTTGGCATGCTAATTTCTTTCATATCCTCCTTCAGAAATGCAGATTTGAGACGAATTCTTAAAATTAAATACATATTAAACATCGCCCGGAATTTATTAAACTACCTTCAACCGATGACACTCGGAAGCAAACAATACTTTTATTTATATGTGTTTTTTTCCTTTCCTTTTTCGTCTTCTTCTTCTAGAAGACAAATACTGAGAAAATTTACATAAACGTCGAAAACACAGTAAATACTAGTGAAATTTTATTAAAACTTTAACACAAGACACAATTTAACTACTTTGTCAAGGAGCTTTCACACTTTAAGTCATTAGTGTTTATTCTATCTTTGAAGCCTTATTAAGTCAATGAGTAAGTCAATCTGGGATGATGTCGTTATATCGATTATTGTAGCAAAAACTACAATAATTTCTGATTGAGCTAATACAATGAAGGCAATCAACAAGAGAACATTGTTACGTCTCAACTGAAACACATCTAAGATAATTTGTATCCAGGTTTATATAAAAAAAATCCAGCAAAAAGTTGTTTAACTTGTCGTCAAATCCTATGCTAAACAGAGAAGAAAATAATAATAATAATGAAAGAATGGAAGATAGAAAGTAATGCGTTTAACAAACTGCCTTCGATCATTCTCTGTAGGAAAAGAAGCTTAATCCGCCCCAACCATATTTCATTTTGTGGTAGCAGGAAATTCTGCTGACATCAACATACAACCGAACATCACTACTACAAATCTCTACAAGCAAAAGAAGATAGCATTTCAGATAACGTCGTTATAACATGCTAGCTTCCAAATGTGCAAAATGAAATAAGGAAGTGCAGAAATGAAATAACCAGATAAGAAAGTAAAAAAAAAAAACAAAACAAAGTTTGTAACGAGTCTCCCCCCTCTCTCTCTCTCTCTAGGATTTTCTACAAAATCTAGTTTTGTCTCAGTTTAACTAGTTCTTTCCAACGAGTAATGAAGCAGATTTCATTTCACACTATTTTATTATTGTTAGCTTGCTGTTTTTATCTTATATTTTACTTGATTGGTGCAACAGGTTTGATATTAGAAGTGCTATAATTTTTTTTTCCTTCTATTTTCCTTGTTTCCTGAGAAATTAATAAAGTTGAAAAGCTAACAAACTAATTAGATTTTGGTAGGAGGAAGTTTCCTCTTCTACGCTCTCTCTCTCTCTCTGGCTCTCAATTGTCGATTATAAACCCTTCGGTACAGAAAAGTAAACACAATCTTTCTTCCTTACAGAAGAAAAAAAAAATACTTTATAAAATTTGATAAGATGCCAGGTAAGTGTCCCATTCAATTGCTTAAAATCGAGTTTAAATAATTTTAAACAAGATTCTAGAGCGAATATATGCAAAAAAAGCAAAAAGAAACAAGCGAACACGCTCAAGAAATGATTTAAAAACCATAAATAACTTTTAATCTATTGTTTTTCTCCGAATCTTGTCATTTAATTTGTAGATGAGACTAAAATGCGAAAAAATAACACTCGAAAAGTACCACCCCTCTACATAAATTCTCTATACTAATTGCTAACAAAAATGAAAAATTATCCAGAAATCGAAATATCCGGAAGAAATCCTTTCACAAAAATATACGAGAGTAATGGGATGTTTGCGTGTTGTGTTTATACACCGTATCTAACGAATATACTGTACATAGGGAGAAGCTGACAGTCATTCCAATTCTATAGTTCAATCCATACAGTTGCGCAGCGAATTCAACCGATTGTTTGCGTGTGTGTGCGAGTACAGCAAGCTTTGCTTTTAACTGTACACACTATATCAAAGGACGTACGCTATTTGCAGTGCACAACCACGCCACCAGTTTTTCGAAGAAGGCACGCATGTGATTAGATTTCGAGTTCTTTCTTGATAACGATATTGATTTCCTGCCCGAGCTTTACACTGGCACGACCATAAACACCACAGAATTCTAGTTGTTTGCTTCTTTCACTACTCCACACACACATTATACAGATCGAAAAAAGGATGAGTTTCATATCCCCATTCCAACATTTGACTCTACTTCGAAGTGTGGACGAAAGGTACTGAAATTCTCTACCAATCTCGTTTAAACAAACACAAACACTGGAGTATTTTATGCATCCCGTCTGTATACAACAAACAGACTAACACGGCTACTACAGTATCAATTTTTATCGAAGAAAACAAAGGATCAAAGTGACAAATAGATACACGAAACGAACAATGATTTAGAAAGTGAAAAACAGGAAAATATTTGTTTATGAAACTGAACTCGTAAAATTTCGGTGTTGTTTACTGACGTAACTGTTTCCCCCCTCTCCCTCGTTTTATGCGTTCGGAGTAGCCAAAAGTCAGTTAACTGTCATAAAACACTAAATTCACTTGTTCGGTATACAAATTGCAATGATTTAACGGATTGAATTCGCGATTTATATTGTGAATTTTAGCTAGAACACTGGCGGGTAAAGGTTAACAGAATTTTGGGTCGTCGTGTAATTTACATAAAAGTTCATTCAGTTTAATATAATTTCAATAAATTTGTAAGTTTATAGCACGCTTAGTAAAGCAAAACATTTCATATTTTAATGAATAATACATTAATTATACATAAACAAAGAAGCATCGAACCGTATTGACAAAGTTTACACCCGAAACATTTGTGTATTCACAATGGCGAAGTATGCCAAATTCACAAACACCATTTATAACATAAAATTAACAATTATTAAAGACTTAATATCACAGCAGAACACAAAAAAAAAAACTACACTAATATGCTATTTTATTAATGACACACAACGTTTTGTGGCGCAACGACGAGGGAGTGTGTGACATCAGAGATGGTCTTAGAAACTTAGCGAATTAAAATACTTGTTACTGATAACAATATTTAATACTCCGTTCGATTAAACGGAACAAAACAGTAAATGAGCCAACCAAATCGTAATTTACATTCGGTAGTCAATAAACAATTTATACCGAGACATCCCGGATTGTTGCCTTTATACAACAATTATATGGCTCTATATGAATGCAAACGGAACACCTCTTGCGGAAATTCGATTTAGTGAAATCGCAGCAACAATTGTAACTCTAATGGAGCACGAGGGGATTACTAGTACCAAATGGAATTGACAGAAGGTTATTGTATCATACAGGCTCATTACAAATGAGGAAATGTACACCAAATGCGATGCGACAGTTTCCAGTAAACCTACCTGTGAATAAACATAGATAATCGAATAACAATTATACCACCCGGAAACTCACACATCCGCTTACACGAGTGCATCTTCAATAGCAATTGCAGTGTCAACACCATACACCGGACAAATCGAGTACAAGAATGAAGAGAGAAACTTGTTTCGACTTCCATTACAAGTCTGAAGTCAGTTTCCTCCTTCAAAAACTACTTGTTTTCCTGTCTCTACTCCTGTATTTTTCTTTTTTTATTCCTAGGAATTTCGTGGGAACAAAGCCAACTTTCAATTAACTTAGTCATTATCCTTCAAGCGTAAACCGATATAACAATTTAAACCTTAATAAAAAAAAAAACAATGTAAACTACTATACAGCTATAGAAACTTAAGATAAAGAAGCGTAAAAATCGAAATTGTTTTTCACGTCTTTGAAGCTTAATAACTCCCGTGTTTTTTGTAGAAAATTTCTGAAATTTCGTAGGGTGGTTTGTGTATTAGGGTGATTGATGCTATTAAATTTTGATGGTTAACGGTCGACGGGGTGAGGAGATAAAGTGTGTGTCGTATCTCGAGTACGGTCGGATATAATGACGATTTTACTGGTTATTACCGGCTTTAAACGTCGCCGGGAAAGTTAAACAACTCCTTGTTGGACTTTTTAAAGCAGAGAGATAAGTACATATACACTTAAATTATTAAATGAAAGAATATAAACGAAATTTGTTTTGCTTATAAAAATTCCAATTCTCTTATTTGAAAATGTAAATTAGGTTTTACAAAAAAAGAAGGGAAGGGTTATTCATGTGTTTTTAACAGTGAGGCAATGAATACGAATAGCTAAATTAGTAGAGAAAACAATCTACCTTACATAAAAACTGATTAACATGCGGTAAAAAGAGAGAGTAGAGAAGATTCTTTTGAATTTATTGAAAGAGAAGGGCTTTAAAAAAAGTATTGTAATCAGCCACGCGAAAATTGATCGTATAGTAAATAATACAACGATTCTAATATAATAAAATATATTTAAAGTCGAATATATTATACTTGAACACGTATTAAAACTGTTCAGTTTAAAATCTGTATAAAGTTAGATAAAAATGAAGTTAACTGACTTCTGAACCACCCCGTACAGTTTACACCTAACTTGGCCAAATAAACTAGAACTAATTTAATTTTATTTTGCCATTTCCAATTACTTTAACCTTCTTTTTTTTTAAATTAGTTTATCTAATTTTACGTTTATAAATTGAAGAAGTTTCACGTGACTTTATTTCTTTTTTACAGCAGGCCGCACACACAAAGTCGAGAGAATTATACTTTAACCTAATTTAGAATGTAAGTATCATATTTTTAAGTGTTTAATAAGTAAAATACCAGAAAGTTTTTTAAAATACATTAAGGAGAATATGAGTTTTCCTTAAGTAAAAACCTCCAGGACAGATTATACGTGTTTAAAAGTAGGATGGGGAGGGAAAAGAACAATTTCTTAGTAGAAGTGGAAACTAAAATCAAGCGAAAGAAACTAATTTCGTCGTGGAAAAGTTCTAAAAAGAAGTAAAAGTCGTTTGAGAAACTTAACTGTCCGTACGACTTCATTCCTAATACATTGAACTAATGGGCTGGAGAAATTTAGTTATGTGCCCAAAAGGGCGTTTTAGGTATTGCACTAAATCCCCGAAACGACATGTACCGAATCTAATGTCGAACGTTAAAAGACTTAACTTTTATTTTCCTCCAACGATATACTATTTGAGTAACGACATCATTGAAAATCAAGAAGGGAACCAAAAAATCGGTTAGGTGCCACGTAAAAGTAATAATATGAAACAAAAATTTTTCCTACAGATAAAAGGAATTTCACTCATTAGAAAGTTATAATTTAGTAGTAAACTTCTACCCAAAAACTTTTTATCGGGTCGTAAAATACACCTGTTTAACTCATTATCCGACTGCAATTCTAAGTTAAAGTCGTAATAATCGATTCTACACACACACACACACACACACCCCCTTTCGCTACAATTGAAAAATGTTAGATATTTGCATAAGTATATAATTATGAATAGAAATCTGCGTGCAAACAATTTAGAGATTTTGTTAAATAGAAAAAAATAATAATAATAATAAGCGAAGAGAAGGTAGAATTTTCATTTAAACCCAATCATTTTCTAAACTTCTTTGCTTATCCAAAATTATTCATTAGTTAGATTTAATGTCGCCGGTGATTAACAGCAACGGCGATTTATATTCTACGACTGGTAATTTATGTTTTAAATGAATTGTCAAATGCAGCTCGGGTGATTATCATTTGCATGATACAGTTTTGTCAGTTCTGTTCAATCTGCAATGCACCAGTATCAATTGACAAGTCAATTGATACTGGTGCATTGCAGAACTTAAGTCTCAATTTTCCTAACAATTCTAATTGTTCCGAGTTTCTTCGGTAGGTCACGTGCTGTAGAATAATGTTAATGGTCTTTTTGAATAATGTGCTAAGTGAAAAGGCGTGAAACAGGGAGTGAGAGAGAGAGAGAAAAAAGGTATTAAAAAAATGGCAGCTGTATAAAATCTTGATTACAAACCGACGTGATGAATATAACCGAATTTAAGAAAATTTGTATTACAAAGGTACAGTGAAGTACAATGAGTTTATAAGTAGAATATATAAAAGTGACAACGTTGTTGATGGACTTTTCCGGCATTGTTTGTTTCTTTTCAAACTTAACAATTGCTACCATTATCTTTATAAGTCTTTAGATTGATTCGGGAGATATTAAGGGGTAAGGCCATATCTCCTGAACCACTGATCTGATTTTCCTGAAAATTTCTAGTAACGTCTCTCCCTAATACCCTAACCTTCCTGCAAAATTTCAGAAATTTTCGACAAAAGACACCGGAATTATTAAGCTTCAAATTGGGTGAAAAAATAATCGTGCCCCACGCATTAACACCCATAAATACAGAAGAAAACACCCAACGTTTTTGTATTTCTCGCGCATCAAGGTCCCTCTGGACCTAAAATTGTTAAAAATGCACGTATTTTTTATCAAAAAGTCTTGGAAATTATTATTTTTTACCCATTTTCATACTTTCCCTCCGTTACGTAACAATCGGGAAAGTAATATATACAATGGAACAGAGATATAGTGAAACACCTAAATGTACAGACGTTACTCAAATACTTTCTTCAATATACAATAATTAATAATTTTCGTAACATATACTCTTTACAATACATTCAAAATTTCTAAAATTAGCTCTCGTAAATATGATAAAATCGATAGATTTAACCAGAATTGCTCAATTCAATAGCTATGGCTTAAATTATATACACGGAATACCCTGTTACAGGTATGACGTTGCTAGTCGTATGTTAAAATCAATGCGAAAAACAGGCGATTTAGATTTATTCCCTGTTAACTGAGAGGTCAATCAATGTGTTCTTAAAAAATAAACTCAAAATGTCACGTATAATATAAAAAAAAAAAAAAACAGATGTAATTATTTATACAACTGCATCAATATCTGTATATAACCCACTCCCGTATTTAACGTTCATTCATTAAGTAATGTACTCGATTTAACACCAAAAAAAGAAAAACATGTAGAAATTTCTTTTATTTACAAATACAGCACGCTAAATGATGAGGTCAGTGAGTCAACATTTATAGTAAAAACACAAAGGAACATTATACCAAGGTTCTAATACAATCTGTGCCTGGTATGTTTCTAAAATACATTCGATTTAACGAATGGTACAGCAATTATTCCGTTAAATCGAGGGCCTACTGTAAAAGAAAACACTCTTTACTGTGGACTTGGGTGGCGTTAATGTTAAGCATCAACGGAAACGTTCGAAAGAATTTACTCGACACCTTAAAAAATTTCGTGTAAGGACAAAAAAGCCGGGCCAAATTTTATTTTGGCACTAAAATATATATCGAATAATTGAAATACGTTACATAAGAGAGAGAGGAAAGGAAGCGAAGAACATAAAAAGTAAAGGAAAAAACACGAGCCATTCGCTTCTATACACTTTTCGAAAAGACACCGCAAACAAGTAAACAATACAAACACACACTCCATCAAATTCTCGAGATGATGCAACACGGAAAGAAAAGGGAAGAAACAAAAAAAAAAGAAGCGAGTAACTCGGACAAGTATTGTTACCAAAAATGGTTGCTTAAGACGTCACAGTGACGTATCAGTTCATCGGAGCGTTAGGTACATTGCTTTTGCACTAAAGGCGACGGCAACACTGCATTCTGTCGTCGATACACATGCCGTTTTCTGATCGTCCAACCGTCAACTTCCCTACAACCTCCGGTTATTATCATGCGTATCACGATAGCGTATTAAAATTGCGCATCATTAGTCGATTGAATAATTAATGGCAAATCAACCAAGATGAACTATATAACAAGTAAATTACTGCGTTTAATTGAAAATGCACTAAAGTCTAAAGTTTCCAATAACCTTTTCACCGTCCGGAAGTTACTTATAATAACTGCCAATTAGTTATCATTATACCAAAATATAAGTTGGGAGCAAGCACTAGAATGACAATGGCATCGTGATTATTCACAAAATGCTACTTGCCTGCTATTTCTAATTCCGTCGTAGGAACAAGAGTAGTTGGCTAATTGCACTAGTTAGATTGACTATTTAATATTTATTAGCCTGATAAATTAAGATTATAACTTAACTTATTTGTAAATATTCATAAACTCCCATACGTAAATCGTTATTCATTTCTTACTAGCGAAATCTTCATTACGATCTGTCCCTTCTGTTATATTTTACCTCCAAATAGCGGACACGTGTCTCGACAGTGTCCGCTTTTCGGAGGTTACACTGTATTTGATTTATAACACTAGAAATATACGGCGATAGGTAAAAAAAAAAAAATAGACTCCCCCTCCTGTATTTGGAGGCCTGAAATGGAAAATCGTTGGGGGGTTTTTCTATATGTATCATTGCTCGTGGGGGGAGCACGATTGTGTTCATTCAATTTAAAGCTTAATAACTCATGTGCCTTTTGTCCAAAATTTCTGAAATTTTCCATGGTAATTTGTGTGTTAAGGAGACAGATGTAACAATAATTGCCACGTGTCTTTTCAAGTTGGGCTGAAAATTCTGGACTGAAATTCATTTGTGGGGCCTTTTTTCGCCCGAGGAATAACGCGCCATTGCTTTCTTCTTAACATAAATCTCATTGGAAACGTCAGATTATAGAAAAGATCTTTTTTTTTCTCCCCCACATTATTATAATGTATCATATTTAAATTGTTCTACCTATTTTTGACTGATGGTACTTTAATTCGCCAACGGAAAAACAAAGTTTTGCTGATAATTTGCAACAAAAATTCCCCATTAATGATAGCATTGAAATTCAATTAGCATTTTCTTTTTTTTTTTAAATTTTATTTTATTATTTTCGTTCGCTTTTAAGAGGAAGAATTGATCATATTGATTAATCGATTTTTATTTTGGATCTTATCCAATTTTGTTGGCAATTTTTTAAAATATTTATATATATAAAAAGATTAAAAAAAAGAAGAATAAATAGGTTTCGCTCTGCCTATGTCTTATATATTTTAAAAATTTACACAAAATATGTTGTTTTATTTTTATTCTATTTTTTATTTTTAGTCAAAACCATTTGAGAAATTACTCGAGCTGAATGATTCAACCTGTGAAACAATCAGCAGAAGAGCGAAAGAACTAAACATTTACACAGGTGAATATACTGTTTTTTTAATCATTTTTACATTTTCTATCAAACTCTTTACAAATATTTAATGTTAGAAGGAAACTTTCTGATCTTTAAATGTGTATACACACAATAAATCTGGATAAAATACAAGGAAAATACAAGGAAAACACACGGTAACAGAGTGTTTCTTTTCTGTATTTTCATTTTCAAATGTTTCCTTTTTACCATCTTTCGGTATAAGAAAAAAAAAACAAGATCAAATTCAGATTTCAATCACCCAAAAAACAATTGAAGAAAGAGCAAATATAAATCTAACACCACCTGTTTCTTCTACAATATACATTATTATTAATGATGATATTATTGAAAGACACGAAAGGAATAACTCATAACTTTAGATACCAGATGTTGATGTTAAAAAAAATAAAATAAAAATAAATAAAATAAAACTTTCGAGGGAAAGAAAAATGCAGACGTTCATACAATAGCAATCTCTTGCATAACACTCGAAAACAAGACAGGAAACAGTCACAGTCAGTTTTATAATCTGTACCCGGCCACGTGACATCCAGCAAAGGTTCTGTTTCTTCTTTTTATATATATATATACAGTTGACTGTATCGATCAGCAGTTCGTCACATAAACAATTGTCGCTGATGCTGCAGAACAGATGACAGGCAAAGTGTATTGTTCACTATTATTGAAGACGGCCATCTTTCCATTTTTTTTTTCTTTTTAAACCTCCCCATCTACACTTTTACGTGTCCTTTTGGTTAGGATATACTTTTGGGAAATATCACAAACATTGACTGATGTTGCCTTCGGTTATATTTTGGTATTGTGGAAATTGAAGTTTAAGAAACAAAAAAATACAAGAGAAAAAGAAAACAAGTATAAAATAAAATCGAATTTGGTATATGTTAAGAGAGATATGAAAATTTATGATGGAGTGATGAAAACGAAAACAAGGGAAAGGGGGGAAAATATATAAATATATATATATAGAGTGGCGTGTTTTACTGTTCTACATGCTTATTTATTTTTATTAAACTGTATATTTTGGCAGGTACTGTACCGAATGAAAAAGTTACGATGCTAAAAGTGGGTACAGAATCAATAAAAGTTCTTTTATGTTTTATATATAAATGGTAGATTAGGTGTGCGTGTTTTTTTGACGTGTAGGAGGTTGACCCTTAGGAAGGTGACCACACCTTTAGAATCAAGTACAACGCCAAAGTGACAGCACAGATTATTGAAACAACTCCAAGCGGATATATATGTATATACATATATATGTATAGGAAGAAAGTGGAATCAAAAATTTGCTAAATATTCATGAACAGAGGAGAGAGAAAATTTCCGTACTTAAAAAAGGAAAAGAAAGAAAGAAAGAAAAAAAACATCAGAAGCCAATTTTCAAAAGTACGCGGGTCACATAAGTCACGTGGCAGGCGAGGCATGATGCATACACTTTTAATGAGATAAAAATCCCTTGGCGTTTACCCAAAAGGCAGAAAATAGGAAAAATTTCACACCAATTTTCTCCCCGAATCGCTTAAAGTGGTGATTTACTATCACGGTTTTAAAAAAATAACAAGGATTTTCCTAACTAGAGAAAAATGGACTAATTCAGTAGAGGAGTTAGATAAGAAAGAAAAGAAAGAAAACAAAAAAGAAATACACAGAAAAATCTTTTATTAAATATATTTCAAAATTTAATTAATCAGTTGCCAAGTCAGTTTACTCGATCGAATCGTTTAAAGAAAGAAAGGGGGAGAAAAAAACAGTCAAAATTTACTTTAGAAATTAAAAAGTACACCAAAGAAAAATAGCAAATCGATTAATTTTCGAATTCACTCTTCACAAAACAAAGTAAAATAAATGCTAATTTCAATAACTTCAGCATTTTCCTAACTCGTAGAACATTAGTTTATTCTATCAATTAATTGTGAATAAAGAAATATTCACCCCCTTTTTGAAATTTGAAAAAATTGTAGACCTATAAATTCCCACCGTCCTCCTTTAAATCTCGACAGCGTAGTTAGTTAGATGTGATTCGACACTGGATATGGAAATCGTAGGGGTAAGAGGACACGATTAACTATATACGAACTTCTGGTTTGTACAAGAAATCACGTTATTTCAATTCAAAAATTCCTCCCTGAAAGGAGTTGGATAGATGACCGATACCACTCTATTGTTAAGATGAAAAGTATAACGTACAGGGTTAAAATATTACTAATTTGGGGTGGAGAGGATATATTTTAAAATTAAATATATTAAAAATTTAAGGCCTGGTATTGTGACCAACGTTACAATAAATAATTGCTCGTTTGTTTATCATTTACTATGAATCTAAAATATCGATTTTTCTTATTCAGCAGACAAATACTTTTTGAAAGATATAGTAAATCAATAAGTAAAGTAATATATTCCAAGAAAACATTTCTTCTTCTTCTTCTTGAGAAACTAAGAGAGTTCGAATCCCAATTGGGATCTTTATCTTTAAACATTAGTTTATGTTTCCATCTCTTATAAGAAGCGAGTTGAACACAGAACAGTAGTAAACATGACATCAAACACTGGAGTAACTGTTGTTTTGAGTGAAGCGTCAAGTATATTGCATTCGGATTAGACGTTTTACCATTATTTTCTACGCTTTCTACTATATAATTGTTTGCTTAATGCCATTAAAAATCCATACAATTGTTATTTAAGACGAGGTGTGGGCTTAATTTTTAATCATATTTTTAATTATATGCCCTCTCCACCTCAAATTAATAATGTCTTGCCTGTCAATTTATAATTATTAACTTGAATTTTTCTTAAATTCAGTCAAAAGAAAGGAGGGAAATATATATATACACTAGAGCATAAATTAAATAAACGAAAAACAAACAGAAAAGAAGACAAAAAAAAAGGAGAGAAAAGTGTTTTTCGGAATTTCATTTATAATCTTTATCAATAGGATTTTTCAAAGAGAGAAATCAAATATTGAAACAGTATGTTTTGATTTCATGTAGTACAGTACCTGATATCGAATGGAACATTTGCATGTAAATGAAATCTTTGACTTTACTAACATGTTTGTACTCTAATACTGTATTCAATTAGCTTGCGTGTAAGCACTACTTCCAATTGTACAAACAAATAATTTCAAATTACACACTCTTTTAAAGATATGAATATGAAAGATTTTATTTACTTAAATGACATTTGCCAGGGGAAAATAAACAGAAAATGAGTTTATACATTAAAAAAAAAATACAGTTTAAAACTCTCTTCTAATTTATCTGTTATTTTGCAGGCGCGTGCATTTGTTATGGCTTTTGTATTGCGATTTTTTATACTTTTTTGTAAACGTTAATGTTATTTGAGTATAGCTGACAGGACTGTATTAAATTATAAAGGTTACTTTGAATCTAATCAGATGCACAGTTTACAATAAATGATTATTTCCTGAATAATATAATGGAAGGAATTTCAAACTGACTTCTTCTGTGTGTATGGGCATTCACTTTAAAGCTTTAATAACGCCTGTGATTTTTGTCGAAAATTTCTGAAATTTGCCAGGGGGGTTTGTGTATTAGGGGCATTCATGATACTAAATTTTGGTGATTAAAGGTCGAAGAGGTAAGAGATAGAGAGGATCGCCTGTTGTATCTGGAGTGAGGTCAGATTTAATGAGAAATTTATTCCTTATTAGCATTTACAATTTCTTTTTTCTTAATATAAAATTCGTCTCTAACTTCAAAATTAAGTCTTTTAATAATAATAATAACTTTTAAGCCTTTGAAAATACAAAAAATTCTTAAATGGTATGCTAATTTCTACAAATATTGTAATAATTTCGCATTTTTAAAGCCACATCATTGTTCAGAACATTCTAAAGATAAGAATTTTAAAGAAAAAACAGCATTCTTTCACCTTTAAATTAGAAACATATATAAAATTAAAGATGAAACAAGAAAATATACGTCACAAACTAAAAAAAAATATATAGGCCTACTGTATATATTAAAACTAACAACACACTACAGTATAAACAAGAATATAAATCATATGGCATTCTTACTTCTTATACAAAGTTACATATCCTTCAACAAAATTTCTCTTAAATTTATTTATATTTTTTTTACTAAAATAAATTTATAAACGATTTAAATATAATTTAAACTTTACAAACTAGTTTTACGTAGGCAGTACTTATGCATTTTTGAAAAATATAGTCATGCCCACGATATGACCTAGACGAAAAAATCTCCCCCCCATATACCATTTTTGGTGTTGAGTGCGAGTTAAGACGTTCTCTTACAGAACAGGTGTAGGTGTACAGGACTTTCGACCTTTCTCAGTATGTGGCAGCCAATGCCTAGAATGAAAGAGCAAGAATTATACCGTATGTGCATTTATATTGCAAAATTATACGCATTTTTTCTATAAATCTTTCAAAATATCCTCTTAAGTTTAAAATTAGAACTTGATGACCTTTTATAGTGTTTATTCCGAGTAGGATACGTATACAAAATATAAACAAAATAGAGAAGTAGCCACTGTATTAAGTAAACGAGCGAGTGACCTTTGACACTAATCTCCTAAACTGAATCATTCTCAATTCGATCTGGCGTAAATCCTTTCCAGTTAGTCTGGTATAACGAAATTATCCTTTGCCTTTTCTTCTAAATCGAATAGAAATATACGAAAAATTTCCTTTTTGTTTATTTTTTTAACGAATTTTTCATTTCATTACATCAAATTATATAAAAGGGAGAAGAGAAGAAGAGAAAACATCCCTCCCCCTCTACATCAAAAGTAAAACACGCATTAAACCGTTTCTGTTCTTAAACTAACCGGATCAAAATTTTATTAAAACGTTCAAGATGAGTTATACATGGTAAACATGACGAAATTTATTCCATTAATAACATTTCTTCCAACATAAAGCCGACAATGTCCAAATTGAATGCAGCTTTTCAAAGGAAGAGAAAGAAGAGGAGGAGGGGGAAAAAAAATTCATTTTTCTGCTATGTTCTCACCTAAACTGAATAGAAGTTCTCTGTTGCTTAATACACAGTCAAGCTATTCATGACAGAAACCATTATACAGGCAGGAGGTGCTGTAGGATTTATTTCTGTTGTTGAACTAATGGGACTCTTTGAGCGTCTGAAGCGATGAGAAGGTGAAAGACGTGAATAACGTCCCAATCTCACGCGACAATAAGAGGATGCAACCGAATTTCGAAACATTTTTAACTATAATGTACGATGTTCCGTGATCTATCATCATTCCCAGGCATCACACTGAAGCTAAGGCCATCCACACGTGTTTATGATATCCCATTAATGCCACAAATTAATCCAAATCGAAGTAGAAATAATTAGAAAATAGGCACTTTAAAAGAAAATGGCATTTAAGAATTTCCTTTCGTGTATATTTTACTTTTTAGTAAATGCAGAAGGCAGACACATACACGTAAAGATAATAATTCAAGTATTGTAACCGTTAATTAACACTCCGTAGGGAGGATTGTTTTCTACTGGTAAATTCTTCTCAAAATATCGTATACACGTGCAAAATTTGAAGTTTAAGTTGCGACAAATGTACGAAAATGGCCGTTTAATTTATTCATTTACTAACGAAAGAGAGAGAAGTAAAAAAAAAAAATGAAAGTAAATATTCAATGTGTATCGACGATTAGTAGCATTAAACCTTTATAAATTCATTATTCGAGAAGGAATGGCGTATAAATTCTTAATCAGCGAATGGAAAAGATGTAGAAGATCAGTGAATGACAAGCAGGAAGATCTTTCAGCCAAGATAATTTGCATGCTGTCGTGCTTCCACAGAAAACACACTTTTAAAAGCAACACTAGGTTTAAAATTACAGAAAGTTTTAACAAAATATATTACTTTCCCGGCTCTGATATATATGGCCATCGGTCAAAAAAAAAGTGACCCCTTCCCCAAGATTTTTACATTTTTGGACCTTGAAACGTTAAGAAATGCAAAAATAATCGGGGTTTTTTCTGTATTAGTGTGTGGGGGTCACGATTTTGTTTACCTTGTTTGAAGCTTAAAAACTCCCGTATCTTTTGTCGGAAATTTCTGAAATTTTACAGGGAGGAGTAGGTATTAGGGGGATTGATGCTATTAAATTTTGGAGGTTAAAGGTCGACAGGGTGGGGATATAAAGGGGGTCGCGTGTCGTATCTCGAGTAGGGTCAGATATAATGACGATTTTACTCATTATTATTATTACAATTTTTTATTTTATAAAATCCATCACTACTCTCAAAAATGCCATTTTATAATAATTAAAAATATAATCTTTTTTAAAATAAAATATCATGAGATGGCGCCAGATTCAGTTTTAAACATTGCCGGTAAAGTTAAGCAACGCGTTGCTGGATGTTTTTCGAGACAGGAAATTTATTTTAACTAATAAATATTTAAAGAAAACATCGAAGATATAATGATATAACATCAAAAATACACGCCAGATTGAAGAAATTTGAACCATTTGACGTTAAAAATTTTAAAAACCGATGCTCCAAAGTGTTATCACCCGTACAAAGAGAAAAACCATTAAAATTTTAAACTTAACAAGAAATTTATAAACATATATTGTTACGGATGAACAAAGGAAATATGTTGGAAGAAGAAAGGAAGAAGAAGAAGAAAAAAAAAAAGAATTTCTCACTTGGGAGAAATGAGGAGCGCAAGCTGAAGGCCGAAGATAGTTACTATTTCTTTTTTCAAACTTGATTTATTGCAGATAGTGCAGGAAAGAGATATTTCCATCAAGGTACAGTTGTTACTTGACACCGTGAGCTATACCCATTGGTGAAACGACGTCGGAAGATAGTCTTGATGCCATTTCCGAGAACCGTTTTCTGTTCGGGTATACGAACCATCTCAGAAATGATAGTTTGTAGAATGGATAAGGTAAACACGGCCAATGTACAGGTATCAAAGGTGGAATGAAGGGCGTGTCGTGTTGCAGCACCACGGAAAGGTGACTCGACAACGTCCATAAAGAACTGCCAGACCGATTAAGATATAATGGCAGTTGTAAAAGTCGGATGCGAATGGATGCGCACCAATGCTTGGAGTCAAATATCGGAAGGAGGGGGAGCATATTTATCGGCTTTAGTTAGTTATGCATTCCAAACTGGAAATTTTAGTAAGAAACCCGATCTTTCTGGAACGTGTTAAGAGGTTAAGAGTTCTTCCACCAATGAATTTTTATTAGTGAACTCCTTTACAATTGGATCTCCTTCGGCTTCGATGCTTGCCCATTAGAATATTGCAATAAAGTTTAGAAATGGCAATAAAATGTACTAAATCGAATAGCATATAATTTATTAGATGGCACTCCTTTCGGGTATTTTATACCCTTTTTCTCAACTTTGGTTTTATTTACACTCGACTTTTTCTTTAATTTCAATGACAAAGTGAGTGGTAAAAGTTCGATGTCGTTGACGGAGATCGGTTCGAAAAATGGAGATTTTTCCCAATAAAAGTAGTATTAAATCGGAAATAAAAGTTAATTTATTCTTTCGCGGAGGTTTCAATTACCGAATTATTACCGATTACAATTCGTTCTGTAATGATTTTGTGACAAACTGTGTAAAAATAGAGAGCCTGTACGCATTTTATTACTGGAAAATATGGCGTAACAGTTCTGTTCTCGTACAGTTTTTTGTCTAAATTTAATTTATAACATTAAATATATTAATACGCGATTAATTTTACCACATAAAAGGACATTACAGAAAAGTATCAATCATCATCATCCCCCTTACTCAGTTTGATGATGATACAGTTTGAATAATTATAGAAAGTTCTACCTATGATTTTAATATACGAAATTATATCAACATTTGTGTCCTTATACAGTGCTTTTTTCTACACAGATCTTGTGTATAGAGCAATCCTTGGCGTTGTTTCTTGCACGATTTGTCTAAAAATCATTATATAAATACCAAATATACTACATTACAATGATGAATTTACTATAGGACAGAATTCTAACAGAAAATCCATTATGCACCTACTTTATGTACAATGTAGTGGCTTAGGTAACCCCGTATTAATAAAGTAATACTCAATTTATCTTAAACTACTGAGTCAGGATAGTAATAAGTATACTTTCCTGTTATAGGGATAATTAAAACATACCTGCTCACCTACATCCTGAGCTATACCCATTGGTAACCTATATCATTTTGTACAGGTGTACTAATTTCATTAATAAAATATCCAATTGGTGTTCTAATACTTAACACAGATTACAGTAAAATCATAAGGAAACTTAATATAAAAAATAATATACACACATATATATATAGATACAATAAGAGTATTTCGAGCAGAAAATTATGAAGTGACAAAATGTGGAAAACATTTGGGAATAAACGGTCTGCTGAACAAACTGACGGTTTAAATCGAACTACGCTATCTTGTCGTGTTACAGTATTAATTAAGAGTGAGTAAACACCGAAGAGAGAAAATTGAATAAAATTAGCAATAAATTGCTTTAACAATAATTGGTAATAAGACGAACAGGTAAAAGTACATGTAATCAAATTCTAATACACAATATTCAATTATTGAAGTAGAATGTAATAAACCAGGCAGAATTTTATTTTATTCCTCATATCCATAATTTGATCTAACCAACAATTTTGCATAAAATTGGAATATTTGCAAATTCAGCAAGAAAATTCACTTCCAGTTTAGCCAATGTAATTATTGAAGTAGGATTGAATTTAGAAAGTTAAAAATTTATAAAGGTAAAAAAACAAAATAATAATAATAATAATAATAAAGTTAAAAGGGAAAGAAAGAGAGGAAGTTTTCTAGTGTATTTATATGTGATAAACATAATAAATATTTATAAGAATCATTGCATTTAATATTAATTATGCTCCTTTCCATATACCAAAACAACGGTAACCTTCAAAGGAGCATATTTATCTGAAATATACAATTATAAAAGTTAACTTATTATATTCCTATCAAAACAATATAAATAGCACATTAATTCCTTTAAAATAATGTATTTAATGTTGAAAAATATATAAAAAGGATGAACGTATGTTTCGGATAAGAATTACATTTGTTCTTGATTATCAATTTAAGTAGCCTTTAAAAAAGAATTTTATAAGTTAAATTCTAATAAGTTTTATTAAATGTTAACAACAGTTTTTTCAACATTAATAAAAGAACAATTTGGAATTTCTTTAATGTATAAAATTCTTTCCATTCTTTCCAACTAAATGCGCGCTTACGTATAATTTTATAATTTAAGAAAGGAAGGAATTTCAATTAGCAATTTACAATGAAAAATTTTTAATAATTATAATAATAAAAAAAAGTAAATAAATATACATAAACATATTATTGGAATTTCCCAGATAAAATTATGCAAGTCATCCTTAAAATTGTTTTTCTTTTTTTTTTTTTTAATTGCATTCTCTAAAGTTAATTCTTTAAATTTTTTTCTTTTTCCATAAATAAATTTCTACTTTAAGAGGAGAATAAAAATAATTTTTATGTAATTTAAAATTGGTGATATTTATAAAGTAAATATAAAAATAATAATAAATTCTTTTCTTTTCCTTAGGTATTGGATTAGCTACTTCTGAAAGAATTAGAAAAGCTTACTAATTGGTATGTCAGTTATCTAAAATTTAATTTACATTCTTTATCTATCAAGTTGTCAAAAATTGCACGATAAAAACTTATCAGATGACTCAGCTTTCCTAGAAAAATGAACACAAAATCTACTTATTTTCTCCACGTTCTCGTAAGTGGTACTCCGTGACCGAATATTTACATATAAAACCTTATTATACGTACTTAAATTTACCTTAAAAATTAAAAAATTCACCATCATCACTAATATCTAATTAATAACTGAACTTTATAATCTATACACTTATTAAAACTAAATTAATTTTATATTAAATTGATTTAATATAATAGTTATTCCATCGTTACTTAAGAAGTATACAGTACTTCATTACAGTTTTTAAAATTTAAAAATTTGGGTCAAACAATGAAATTTTAATGCTATAAAATGTTGATTTTGTTTTATAATGTTAAAATTTTATTGTCGAACTGTAGATTTAGGTATTCAAGTAATAAATTAAATCTGGAAAAAGAATTATTTGGGACAATATTTATCTAATTTCTCTCATCGACCCCCTTGAAGCCTCAATATACACTCTGATATATTTATAACCTTTATGAACAGCATTTTATGATAACATTTCTCTAAAAAAACACTCTGAAAATTTATCTCTAGTCTGATATTAGTTAAAATCTTATACATAAAATATATAATTGTTTATCTTTAAAGAAAATAAAGATACATTTTGTTTTTATACAGTTTAAATTCTGTTTACATTAATATAACTTTTGGAAGATGTCCATAAATGATTCTTTATCATCACTTGTCATTATGTATGATTCGTAAACACATCTGTTCTTAAAGTGCAAGCATTAAGTATTCTTTGCAACATTACCAATCAGGATTACACGCTTCCACTAAACACCCCTATTAGACTCTTTAATAAATAAATATTTAACATTTTCTAAAAATTCTGATTTATTTCCTGTATCGAAAAGAAAATTGCAATATATTATATATATTTTTACTTGAATTTTGAAAATATTCACTAACTTATATAAAATATTTTCTTTGATGCATTTATAGTGGTCATGTTGATATGCAGTTTCTGAACCGGGAGATCCTCGACTTGATTTACAGATTTGATTTGGACTTTTTCTCGCCTCTCGATACGGCCGTACGGCTCTATCTTCCTAATAGATATCAGTCCTTGCTGGCAAATGATAATAACTATCGTGCAAAACTAGCCAAAACTATTTCTCAATCTTTATATATTGCCATAAAATAGTTTCTCATAAATTTCTCTTTAACTTTTACATAAGAATATCTTTTACTATATCCGCATTTATGACTTCAATATGACCTTTGATGCTACTAATACTTTAACATTGAATACATAATAATTTTAATTATTACTAAGGAAAAAAAAAATAGAAATATTTCAGCTTTATATTACATTATGTATGAGTCTACTGTATTATAATTTATTCTCTAGCCAAATAAATTATAAAAAGTAAACACAATAAATTAATTATGTAACGAAAATAATTTAAAAATATTTTTCTAGAACTAAAATTACAGCTCTACAGAATTGAATAATAAAAAAAATATATCAATAATAATAGAAACATTATTATGGTAAGTTAATATAGTCTCTTTTTTAAAATAAATTATACTTTATACAATATCATAAATTCAATATCAATTCTAGAGGAAATGTAATCTCATATACTACATTTTTTTTTTAAAAAAGATCAAATATAAATTAGATTTAAAGGGCATTAACTTCAACGAAAAATTATACTTGATAAATGATGACAATTTTCAAAGTTTTTCTTCATTTCTTTACATTAAATATATTTTCTAGCTTTATTTTATTGTTATAATATAATCAAAACGCTACAGATTTAATAGTATTATGTTCAAAACTCATATGCTGCAATTTAGATTCATCCACATTATGACTATAAGATCAAAGAATTTATTTTTAGACATAAAACTCTTCTTACAGAACATTATAAGAAAGACAGACAATACATTTCATCTCTACTTCTGTGATCAAAAATAAATTGTTTACATGTAATAACTTCAAAGAGAAATGAATATTTGAAAAACAACAATGTTTTATTTACTTCATAGGAATGAAACTTATATACTATGATCTTTTCAATAAAAATGAAATTATATTTTTAATTAAAAGAAAAAGAATTAAAGTAATTCATAAAACTTAATTTTTGAGAGAAAAATCAATTTGAAGAAGCTTCGTTCAATATTCGGAATCATCTTTTTCTGTCGAAGGAATTAAATGTACTGTTAAAATCTAGAAATTATTATTATTAAAACAAAAAAAAATTCTATTAGTTTGTTAAAATTATAGACATACTTTCCGATAAAATAGTTATAATGCTGGTTGTTGACCTTTAAGTTTATATAAATTTTATTATTAGAATCAAAATATCTTGCTTATCTAAAATGCAAAATTCATAAATATATTAAAAGTTTTCAAATAAACATTTTTAGTTTTAAACTATAGACAGTACAAACAGAAAATAAATACATGTTTCACTGATAATCATAAATATTAAATTCATATATAGTAGGGATGGTGAACCTTTTTAAGTTCATGTGGATACTTATCTTCGAAAAATGTTTACGTGTGCTGAAGTTTTAGACTTTAAATAACAATACTTAAAGAAATTAAATGAATATGATTTAATTATAATAAATGTAAATAAGATGATTGAAAAAGGATGATCGGGTGATCAACTGAAATCACATAACTGGTGATGTGCCAGATGATTTCTCCCAACGTTCCACTTTGGATACATCACATCTGATCCGTAACATTAAAAATTTAGTTTCATTTCACAACATTTAACTTCAACACATCACCATTAATTTCATTTTAATGCATAAAAATATATGAATGACCTTTAGAAACACAATAAGCATATTCTTCATAAAACAATTAATATGCTAATCCCAATAAACCTACTTTAATCATACCGAATATACTCTACACACACATTTTTACATACTAATATTAAAGCAGACAACCAGATAAAACAGCAAAGGTATTAACCTGCCACTATAAAAGAATAAGAGTTCACATCTGTGTTGTATCTCAAACTTTCACGGATAATTTGATCCAAATATGTTGAGCTCTATCCCTTACCACACAGCATTGTAAATCTCATTAAACTATAATTGTCTTGCAAAACAAGAGGCCTATTGGTATCCAAGGCTTAGAGTTAAAAAAAAATATATCAAATTGGAAAACAATAGTGACATTGAAGTAACATTGCTGAATTTATATAAAGTTTTTTAATTATAACAATACATTACAACTCTATACAATGCTACATTAACAGAATTTTGAACAACAAGAGTAATATTTCAATATTAAAAAGTCATGTTATCATTCCAAACAATGTATCAGGTTTTAATATTTGATGTTATCGGCGAGATATGTTTTCTTCTTGTAAATTTATTATTTTTGGAGAACAAAATGTACGAAAAGAAGAATGTAAGAAAGAAATTTATTTCGGTGACTAATTATGATATATGCTGTATGTAACAGCTTACCATCTTAAATAACTTGGAATTTTACAGAAAAATGTCATTTGTTCAACTTGCACATCATAAATCAGTTTCAATTTTTATCAACATTTATGTGAGATAAACAATAGTAGTATGTATTATTGATATCATTGCAACACATTTATATAAATATATTATATCATAAAATGACAAATACAAATATAAATAATAATTGACAATTATATATTAAGAATTTATATTCTGTTGAATAATGTACTTGTTTTTGTATAAAAGTGCTGATTTTTCTAAAACAGGTTAACTGTATGATCATAAAAATAAATTTTTATAATATAATTTCATAATTCGTCTCCCATGTGAACATTGAATAATAAAATTAAAATTTTATTTCTTTTAGAGGATTCCATTTTCTCGAGTTCGATATAAGCAAACACCTAAAGCCTAAATAAGTATGCAAAAGTGCTTTTTACTTATCTATTAATGTTTAATTTAATGCAGTTATCAACTAAAGATACTCTGCAATATGATGTGGACTGCATTAAGGAAAACTTTTAACAAATATTTCACTTTATAATCACTAAATAAGTAAGACGAAATCAATAATTACATATCTACCAGCTATTACATTTAGAAATTAAGATGTTACTTTTTAAATTATTAAATGTTTTTAAAATGTATAGAATCTATTATTGTATGGAATTTCTATATTTTACATTTAATAAAATAATTGACATTTTGGATTTCTAACAGTAATAACTGATAAAAAGTTGCTATATATATATATATATATATATATACATCATATCATAGTTCTTAATTTTCTGTAAGATGCTAACAATAAAATGGATGATAGATTTTCAGTCAACAATCTTCTCCTCTCGGGTTTCGGCTCCTCCTTTGTGCGGCTTCTAACAATTATCTTACTATTACTTGTTGCTTTTAAAGATAAAGGTATAAACAGATCACTAAAACAAAATTATGAAGCCCTATTGTTTTATATAATTGATCTAAAAAGTTTTTTGTTGTATAATTTTAAATTTAAAGTGATTTAAAGCTTTAAATATTAATCCTGAAGGTGTTAGGTAATGAATACTTAATGAGAACACTTGTTTGAACTGTCAAATTTTGTTTTATTCTAATACGTAATGCCCACAGATGGCTTATTTCATAAGTGATTTTAATGTTTCTAAAGATCTGCTTATGTTATTGCATATGGTTCTATAAGAATATTTAACTGATTTTTATTTTAACATTCAACTCCATAAGGAAACATATCAGAATCAGGTCATTTGTTATTACATACCATCTTAAAGCAAAATATTAAAAGCTTCTTGAGTATAGGAAATTTTCTATAACTTATGTTGTAACTATGTATAAATAAAACATTTTCATTCTCAAACAAGATTTATTATATAAATAGTACTTTTATAAATATTCTTATTTAATAAAATATTCTTTGAGTAACTACCATGGTTTAACTTTATTGTTAAATACTTAGGAATGATTTCAAAATTACATTTATTATATACATATATATTAAGGATAGTATTATAAATTTTCTCATTTCTTGAATAATACTAATTAAATTGTTATATACAAATCAAATCACAAACTGGATAACAGCATTGGATAACCCATTCTTTACCAACCAACACAGAGTTTATTACAACAAGTAATTTTGCCCGTTCTATATCGGTTAACCGTAGTAAAGACTAAATTACTGTATTATTACCTACAAACTTTGATGTTTTTCAATTAACATATTTATAACTTGGTTACAAAGGTTAGATTATCTAGTAAATTGTTACCATTTATATGAAATGTATCCGTGTCTTACTACTACTATATAAATTCAGTTTACGTAACTTATATAACTGTTTTCATATTATTTCTTAAGTTTTTCCACAATAGTCTCTAAAATAATTATGGCATGGCAGACGTCGGAAAGCTTTTATAGCTAATAAAATCATAATTACTGCTAATAAACCGTGATAATTCGGTCATTAATATTTTAATCTGTTAAAATTAAAAAATTTCTTTCTATATTTTATTAAACTTTAAAACTTCTTTAACAATCTCACATATTTATATTGAAATCAATATTTAACTATGTAATATGATTTTAATTTAAAAAGAAAAAGGAAGAAAGTTTAGAATGAATGCTATAAAAATTTTATATCCATCTCTTTTCGTACACTATTGTTAACTTAATAAATTTAATTAAATATTTTGCTTGACATAAAATTAAATTTACAAAAAAAGATACTTTAGAAATTTAATTTTATGGATCTAAATGACGAGTAGCAGTTTCCATGTCTAAAATATATAAATAAATTATTTATTTAATATTGCGGATTTGAATATTTCATGTCTTCAATTTATGCTATGTTAATTTAATGCATCTTGTTGATAAAAAAAAATAAGGGGAAAAATATATAGCAAATTAATTTAGAATTTTATTTGCATACAAAAATAAAAAATAATCTACATGAAAAAGTTCTACTAAATTTAAAGTTATTTTTGTTAGCATGCTGATTCAATATTAAAGTTTAAATGCTAAAACTTCTATCATTTAATTTAATAAACGCTTTATAATGTCTACGAGGAGTGAGATGACAACTGCTCTCGACACAAATAAAATACTTCTATTTATATAACACATAATATTAAATGAAAATTTAACAAGTTTAAACTGAAAGAGAATTTTACAGTTTCATTTTATTAAATTAATAATTTTAATTTATTTATTTTATAAAAATTGCAAATTTCAAATTTAATTTGTTAAGAATGTATTTGTGTGTTGTTTGAATAAACCAATAGGAAATTGCGGGAATAAGGTTTTCTTTATAAAAAAATCATCATCCGTCTCTAATTAAAAATTTTATTCCTAAACATTAGAATTTCCAATATTGAGAAATTATATTTTAGAAACTTTAATTTTTAATCTGATTACATGATATTGTTAATTAAGATAAGCGTGTATGCATGTAACATACAAATTTGGCTAATACGGAAAGGAAAATATGGCATTAAACAGAATTTAAGACTCGCATTTATCATAACAAAACGAATTACGCATCATGATAAAATAAGTGCTAGATTAAACAGTTCTTTATTACTCATAAAACTTGGCACCAAAGTTCTACTACTTCAAAAAGAAACAAATTATATAATTGTGATATTCATTTATTAGAAAGAATATTTAATTAACTTTTATGCTGCTATTAAAACTGTTGTTCTCTCTTTAAACAATATTTCTAGCCATAAGATAATTAAAACATGATTCAATAATAGAAAATAAACTCTAATAATATTTTAAACTAAATGTATAGAATTAGAGAATACTTTTTATACTGTAAATATAATGATAATAAACAGAATAATAAGGAGCAACATTGTGTGCTTGTTATAGTCAGGAGCATTTTAAACACATGTAGAGAGAGTAACAGCACAAAACTTTGAAAAAAAAGTAATTGATTTTAGTAGTTGATCTTCGATTTCTGTCTGGCATGGCAACTAGCACCGATATTAACTGTTCATTGCATTTACATATAAATACTCTTTAATAGCAATGGCATTGGGTAGCTTTTGGCACTTAACACAAATGATAAAAAGCTCCTTAACTATATATATATATATATACACCAAGTCTCAAGCTATTTTATTCAAGTTATATATAATTATTATTGATTTAGTAAGTAAAATAAAAAATATTGGTATCATTGATCAATGGCTGTGGCAACATAGGCAACAGTTGCTCTGCTACTAATTAAGTTTTCTCTCTTATGTTGATAAAACACACTTTTCTTATAATTACGTAAGGATTTCCTCGGGATCGTCTTTGTATTATTGGCAAATGCATCTTCTAGTTTGATAGTTTTGCATTCGGGAATAAGGTTGAATAGAATTTTGGCCCAAGACAGATTTATAAATTGGGTGGAAAGCATTTGTCAGGTAACCATTCCTTTGCTGAAAAAGTGTTCTGGTTGTACTGTACAATTAATATTGTGATATTTCTATTCTTAAAATACAATATAAGGTAGTATTATGCTTGGACAGTTGTCTTTTTGAACAAGCACATGAAAAAATATATACTGTTAAAAAATTAATTTATATTATTAAATTATTTTTGCAAAGAGCATATATTAAACAGTTGATTTATATTTATTTATGTATATTATATAATTAACATTCTAATCTTTATTTAATTGGAATTTTAATATGCTGGGATTGAAGAGTGGATATTTATTTATTCTTTTAGATGATGAAATAAAGTTTTATTGTTACATATACATGAATGTTTCATTATAGTAAGAAGCAATATGTCAGATGATGAAATAATATATATCATAATTATATATATTGCCATTGTACCGAGTGAGTTTCTCTTTAAATAATTAATAAAAACTCAAACACAAAAGAATCATTTATTTATACAGAATAGTGATAATATAATATCTAACTATTTTAAATTTATTTTATTAATAATATATATTTATTTTAAAGTAAAATAATCTATAAATGAAATAAATATCAAAATCTTATTAAGAAGTAAAATAAAAGCTAAAAAAAAAACTAAGATTTTACTTTTCTTTAATTTTCTAAACTAAATATATTTAAATATTATCAAACTTACCTGACTAATTCTATTAAATCCATACTGACGAAATCTTTCATCGTAAAATGGAGCAGAATTTCTTCCGATGTAGAATGGTTCCCAGGGATCTCTCCACAGAACTTCGAACAGTACTGCTAATTTATCTGAAGGTGGTTCGCGCTGCCACGCTTCATAGTCGGTGTGTTTTTGACATTTCCAACACAATTCAAAATAAAATGGTCTAGCTTCCATTAACTCCAGAAGCTGTAGAAGATTTGTTTTGTCTTGTGGAATTTCTGAATCTTCCTTCACTTCAAATGCCGGAACAACATAAACAGTTTTGTCATCTTTATGGGATTCTAAGAACAGATGGTTTTCGTTTGCAAAATAAAGAAAATTTTTATGTAGATGATTACTAGGAACCATGTCAATGTCAATCACAAATACAAATTCTGTCATGGCGTTTCTTCTAGCGACGTTACGTAACAGATTGTTCGGATAAGGAATACCAAAAGCATAATTTTCTCCAGCACCATAAGATTTCAGCTTTTCCAGCAAACTCTCACAAGAATCTAGTATCAGTAATTGAGACGACGACGACGAAGATGACAATGAAGACGGTGACATTATATCAGAGGGGCTGTTAAGAGGATATACAAGATGGAAGCTAGTATTATGCCTGATGGCAGGAAAACAACGTCTCAAATGAAGGATGCCCTCCACTGCAATGGGTATGTCCTTTGCTAGACTAAACACTGCAATTGAAATTGGACCATGCCACCGCAGCGATAATGGATGAATGTAATGTAAATGATTTATAGATGATTGTGAAACAAGGCTGACATCCTGATGGACTTGATTTTTTGTGCTTAATAAATCGGCACGTATTACAAAATTTACAATACGGAATTCTCCACTGGAATCTAAAACACTGCTCTGCTGAATAGTTTCCAACATGTGCATTCTGTCTTCTTGAATTTCGGCCTCTCGATAATCCTGCTCGACCGCATCCCATCCGTGATTTCTGGAATCCTTTTTCTGACGAGTGTTTTTACGAGCTTCCAGTCGGCTCAAAAGAGTCATATGAATCACCTAGAATATAATACAAGAGAAAAATCTTTTTCAAACATTATTATGGTAAGTAAATAGAGCATTTACATAATCTAACATTATTAATAATGTACATATAATTTTAAAAAGTCCTCTCAGTATAATTACATAATTACTTCAAAGGAGAAACTTTTTAAAGCAAAAATAAATCAATTGCAGCTACTGTAATATTTATACCGAAAGCAAAACATTTTATCCGTCTGCACGTTTTGACAAGTGATTCATATTCAGTTATCTCATAATTTATTCTTTCTATTTCATTCAACTAGATTTTGACATTATTTTTGTTTCTATTCATATAGCATCTCTAGATAACTAATAAACAATTCCAAAAATTCTTTACGACGACATCTCTACAAAACTAGAATATTTTATAGTTTAAAAAAATTTCCGTATTCACCGTATACGGAATTCCTTCACTTCCGTACGAACAAATTCCCCAAAAAGTTTATTTCTTACTAATAATTTTTTATTCCGAAATATCGTGAAATAAATTTAAAAAAAAATTTTTCTTATTCAAAAATTTTGGGCCCACTCGATGAAAACTATATTTTCCTTTTCAAATGGAAATATTTGAAATATTCTTTCATTCTTTACTATCAACATCAGATCATTTCTATCAATCATTCAATATTTTCTTATTCTTTTATTGTTGTTACTTTCTATTATATGAAATTTTAAAAATATCAAAAAAATATATAAACTTTTTTTCGGAAGATTCCTTTAGAATGCTTTCAAATATAGAACTAATAATTTAACTAAATAATAACTTATATTTTTTTTACAATATATGTGTATTTATAAAAGCATTCGTAAGTATACAACAAATAATGTTACGAAGTAGAAAACTGTAAAATTTCAAAAAGATTTTCGTTGTATTCTTCTTTTTAGATTTTTAAAATATAAAACTAATAAAAAAAAGTAGTCAAATATTTTCGAACTGTCACAAACATTCCGCGAATAAAAACAGAAAAACGTCGGTCTAGATTGAGTGATTTCTAAATGCTACAAAAGTAAATTATTAAAGTTGTTAAAAAATTGAAAATAAAAACGACGGCAGGTTTTTATTTTTAAATTTTAAATTCCATAATAAGCAGTTTTATTTATAATACACAAAAATAATAGTAGAATGTATCTTTTATATACTATATTTAAATTTAGGATAGATTCTTTCGTGTATTTCTGAAAAAACTGAAAGAAGAATTGAAATTTCAATGCTTCTTTCAGTTTTTTGTTTTCAAAAGTTAATTCATGACAGAAATTTTTTACTTAATTTATATTTTTTGTTAATTAAACTTAAAAAGAACTTAATAATGTATTTAAAATACTCTTTAAGAAGACTTTCAAATCTATTTTTTCTTTAATTATCATCAAAGTTTTCCTGAAAATTCTTTTTAAAGGTTCGTTTTGCACTATAAACTCAAAGTATTTTTTTTTTTAAATTCAGAATCCTCTTGTTCATATTGGAATGAAAATTTTATACTTTCTCTTAATTGTATTTCTCCTTAAATATATAATTATATCATCTAATTTTATCCTGAAAATTCTTTTTTTAAAGTGAAGATTAGACTTAAATTCAAAAGCAATACGGTATACAACTGAAGGCCAGATCTCGTCGTCATGAGCCATATACCGCATATCAGAAATACACGAGAGCCGCAACCTACACTGGAGAAGTATTTTATATATAATCTATATACCGAGTATATATATTAGGAGTTGGATGATACGCGGGAGCCACAATACTCTATACAATGCTACATTAACAGAATTTTGAANGTATTTCTGAAAAAACTGAAAGAAGAATTGAAATTTCAATGCTTCTTTCAGTTTTTTGTTTTCAAAAGTTAATTCATGACAGAAATTTTTTACTTAATTTATATTTTTTGTTAATTAAACTTAAAAAGAACTTAATAATGTATTTAAAATACTCTTTAAGAAGACTTTCAAATCTATTTTTTCTTTAATTATCATCAAAGTTTTCCTGAAAATTCTTTTTAAAGGTTCGTTTTGCACTATAAACTCAAAGTATTTTTTTTTTTAAATTCAGAATCCTCTTGTTCATATTGGAATGAAAATTTTATACTTTCTCTTAATTGTATTTCTCCTTAAATATATAATTATATCATCTAATTTTATCCTGAAAATTCTTTTTTTAAAGTGAAGATTAGACTTAAATTCAAAAGCAATACGGTATACAACTGAAGGCCAGATCTCGTCGTCATGAGCCATATACCGCATATCAGAAATACACGAGAGCCGCAACCTACACTGGAGAAGTATTTTATATATAATCTATATACCGAGTATATATATTAGGAGTTGGATGATATGCGGGAGCCACAATAAGGGTATAGAAGAGCCGCATGTGGCTCGCGAGCTACAGTTTGGCCAGGTAAATATGAATTCTTATATATAGAACAGATATTTTGTATGTGCTTACAGTATTTTTTTAAATTAATTGTATAATCTAAAACAGTATCTTGTATGTAATTATTATTCTTAAGTTTCTCTTTCCTTTCCTTTATTAAAATAAATTCAGATTTAAAAAATACTCTCTAATTTAATCAAATAAAAATATTAATTTAAACACCAACACTTTTAAATTAAATCATCGGATTTTATATAAAATTTCAAAATAACTAAAAGAAACAAAAAATGTATTAAAACTTTCGATAAATTTTTTTCGCTAAAATAATTTTATAAAATTAAAATTTTTTTTGCGTGTTTTTTTTATTTTTTCAATTTATGTCGAATATTCGTTAATAAGAAAAATTGCCAGAGGAATTTTTAAATTAATTATTTTCAAAATGATTAATTTATTAAAGAATAAAACATTCGAAACAAACTTTCTTAAATTGCTTAATTAAATAAACAAAATTCTTAATTTTGACATTACTGTACGTTTTATGTAATTATACATTCATGAGATAAATTCATTTTCTTTTGTGTCTTTAATGACAAGTTTCTTTATTTTATTTTATTTACCATAAATTATAAATTAAACTTTATAGGAAAAATAAATAAATAATTCAATAAAAGAGAAGCTATTACTTTGTCTATTGTCTATTACTATGAATGGAATTTATAAATTTACTTTTACATTATTTATAATTATTATAAATATTAATAAAAGAATAAATTTTATTTTTGTTTTTAATTGAACTCAAACAATACATGAAATGTTTTATTCCTATTTTTTATCATTATATTTCTTTTTTATTTGTGTTTTAATGATAATGGATTATTATCTATATAACATATAATTTAAATTCTAATTTAGAGGATTTTCTCTTTTCATTACAGTTATTGTTTGATTGTAATTATTGATTTGGAAACTGTAATTAACCAAATTCTCCCGGGGAGGGCAGAAACGAAAACTAAAATCCAATTTTATTCGAATCCCATTAGAAATATTTATTAAATGCAGAGGAAGGTCATTCACCATTGAATGCACACAGACCGGTTGACAATTCAAACAGTAAAAGTATAATGGCACAATCACTTTTGATCGTATCGCTCCGACAATAATTCCTACGGTCGGACGGTAAATTAAATTCTCCATTTAAATGCCCGGGACGTCAAAAATCGTCCGAGGAACCCTAAGCGGGTTACCAAATCGTCACCGTAACACCGCTTCGCTTTCATTAGTATAAAAATGTATTCTCCGCTACGACGCCGAAGCGGTTTACGAGGACGAAAACACTAAGTCTGGCAGGCTCCGCGTCCTCTCGTTCCGGAATTCAAAAAGAGGTTCCCATAAACGCCGAGGGCCTTCGGAAGTTTTTAATCGATAAAGGAATAAAAGAAAAAAATCTACCGACCTGTAGTACGGCAATTACGACCACCAAGAGAACCGCAACTCTTCTCCAAATAGAGGGCATATTGACCAGATAGAACTGGTGTTCATGCTACAGAAGTCTTTAACATGATCACATAATCTGAAAGATAAAAACCATGTGTAAATCATTAATACTTTTACACAGAAAACAAAACCATTGTGTATAATAAACAATAGACATTAAGTGTTAATAAAATTTCAACACTAGTAACAAGTATATACACAAAGTGTTTATTATTTACGTTTAAAATTTCATATTTACAAATCGAAAACACTACAATGTGTATCGAATCGTTTATTCATACAAATAAACACAAACGTAGGTGTTATTGAACTTTCGAATATCTAAACACGAGCTTACCTGCTTCTGGTGTTTATGTGTTGCAACGAATGGCCGAACAGCTTGCGTTAAGCATCTCTACCCCTTGGCAATCGAACTCTGACTAGATCCATCCTCTTCTCCATCACTTTCATCCTCCGCCACTCACATCAATCACGCATGCGCCAACATGAAGGAAAGCGTGTGTTTCTTGTCTTCGACTGCCATCTAGCGGAACATTTCTTTTTTTTTTTTAAACTTAAAAATAANATTTAATAAAACGCCCAAGAATTATAATTTTTTATAATAAAATATTGGGTATTTTTAAATTATTACTATTTTTTTACTTCAGAAACTATTCAAACACCCTTCTTTTCAGAACATTTAGCATATAATTTTTCATCTGATAAGCTTACTTTTATCTGAGGAAAGTATATTCCTTATTTTAAAATGATTAAAGGGGCTCTTCCATTGTACTTTTCTTCCTTATGTTAAAAGGTATAAGACTTTTATCTCATATAAGGAAGAAAGGTGAAAGAATTTAATTTATTTAATAATGTTTTCTAACAAAATTTGTATAATAACGCCGATATTGTTCTGTTTTAAATCGTTTTGTTTTGAATAGGGCCAGCTGGAGGTTTTGGNTTATAATCATTTGTAAGTTTTCTAGAAAAGATTAAATTTGTTAATAGTTGCAGTTTATGTGATTATATAAGCTGTTTTTCTTTTTGTTTTTCTTCTGCTTAATTACCTAATTACCAATTTGGCATAATGACTAATAATTATATAAACTTTTTAATATTTATTTTGAGTGTAGAGATGAGTTTTTAAAAATACTATAAATGACAATAACGAGTAAAATTGTCATTAAATCCGACCCGATTCGAGATACAACACATGACCCCTTAACACACACATACACACACATAGGGCTTACACAAACACATTTCAGTGAATTATTTCGATTTTTCAGTGTTTAGTGAACCCGAAAACATCAACTTACAAAAAGACCTGAAGGGTCAAATTTGACAGCAAAAACAATACTTTCTCGTGTTACATCATAACAGCAGGGAAAGCTGTAAAGTATTTTCCTTAAGATTTATTATTACAGGTTTATAAATATTGTATAATAAGTGTTTCCTTTCTTTTTTTTTGGCAAATATTCTACCTTTATAAACTAAATTTTAGAAAAGAAATTAAGGATTTATCGCCGCATTTTAATTAATAATACCGTATTTAATTAGGAGAAAGTATATTAGACTGCAGGGAGTTCAGCTTCCTTACAGTGTTGTGTCTCCTTCATAATTTCGGTTCCTTATTGTCTACTTCTGAACAGTCTATCTTACAGTAAACAGAGTAAATTGCACAACTTTGCCATCTATTTTGTTTATTACTTCTTCAATATCTGGATAATATTCGCTGTTTAACCCGATGTAACAAGGCGTACAGATTAGATTTTCGAACCAGTTTACAGTAATAGATTACAGTATCTCTCTAATTAGGAAGCTCACAAAAATATACTGTTTATAAATTTCTTAGGAATTGTTTACATTTTACAAAACAAGTAGTGGCGTGTGTGTATTTATGTGTGTTTTTATTATTATTTTTTTCTATAGCGAGAGACAGTTCTGTCTAACAATCAAGTCATGTGTTTTAACGAAGGTAGTTTTATACAAGTATTATATCAAAACATATACACCCCCTCTCACTTAACTACTGCAGTAGTAATTTGTTATGGTTGGTGTCAGATTTAGGACGAAAATTTGCATCCTCTGGAGCATAATCGAAAGATAAATGTATGGCTACCGAACAACAGCCGTTTTCCTAGTTGTCTAACAGCAATAAACTTTTCCATTTAATTAACCGGACCTCATTTTCATGATGATACATTATCGTAAGGTAGCGAAAATGAATTTTCCTGGGTAATATTACACAAAATGGAAATTATCTCCCTCCGGCAGATCAGACTCGATTGCTTACCTTGTCATATACAGCCCAACTTATCTTAGACAAATTACTATATTGATAAATATGCATTCATACTAATAAATGACATTATACTATTTTAATGTATAGGACTCTATTAAAATATTTATTCCCCGGGCCAGTCCTCATAAACACTTACTGCCATCTAGTGTTTAAAAAACACACACACACACACACACACACACACACACATTTACACACTATAATTACAATTAAAATACAGCTTAAATTTTTAAATGACTTGAAATGTGGAGGAATAATTGTAATTAATTTGAATGTATTCTTTTGTTTCTATTACTAAATATAGACAAAAAAAAGTTATTAATTACTACCAAGATAATTATCTGTCGAGATAATAGACTTTATGATCTATGTATTTGTTCTGTTCTCTGTTAGAAGTAATTAATAGAGAGTGGACATGTGGAAACGATGATGACGATAATAAAAAAATAATAACAATTTTCTTAATTGCTCATTTATATTAAATCACGTGACATTTTTCACATATTCTCAGTTTATAACAGAAAAATTCTATACGAAATAAATGTTTGAAATTGTTTTCCTCTTCAAATGAGTGGGAAGGAAGGGAAGGAAGAAATAAATTTTTTATTCTATTGTACAATATTATAAAGCACAAAAGAAATGGCTATAACGATAAAAATATGAATTATGTTTTTCAAAATTTTATTATTACACATTAAAAAAGATTAAAGAAGAGAGTGAAAAATGTGAAAAATGTTTCTGAAATACTATGAAACATAAAAGATACTCTGCACCTACAGAAATGGTTCATAACCGTTACTGCCATAAAATTTTAAAGAATAATTNTGTCTTTATACTACTATATAAATTCAGTTTACGTAACTTATATAACTGTTTTCATATTATTTCTTAAGTTTTTCCACAATAGTCTCTAAAATAATTATGGCATGGCAGATGTCGGAAAGCTTTTATAGCTAATAAAATCATAATTACTGCTAATAAACCGTGATAATTCGGTCATTAATATTTTAATCTGTTAAAATTAAAAAATTTCTTTCTATATTTTATTAAACTTTAAAACTTCTTTAACAATCTCACATATTTATATTGAAATCAATATTTAACTATGTAATATGATTTTAATTTAAAAAGAAAAAGGAAGAAAGTTTAGAATGAATGCTATAAAAATTTTATATCCATCTCTTTTCGTACACTATTGTTAACTTAATAAATTTAATTAAATATTTTGCTTGACATAAAATTAAATTTACAAAAAAAGATACTTTAGAAATTTAATTTTATGGATCTAAATGACGAGTAGCAGTTTCCATGTCTAAAATATATAAATAAATTATTTATTTAATATTGCGGATTTGAATATTTCATGTCTTCAATTTATGCTATGTTAATTTAATGCATCTTGTTGATAAAAAAAAATAAGGGGAAAAATATATAGCAAATTAATTTAGAATTTTATTTGCATACAAAAATAAAAAATAATCTACATGAAAAAGTTCTACTAAATTTAAAGTTATTTTTGTTAGCATGCTGATTCAATATTAAAGTTTAAATGCTAAAACTTCTATCATTTAATTTAATAAACGCTTTATAATGTCTACGAGGAGTGAGATGACAACTGCTCTCGACACAAATAAAATACTTCTATTTATATAACACATAATATTAAATGAAAATTTAACAAGTTTAAACTGAAAGAGAATTTTACAGTTTCATTTTATTAAATTAATAATTTTAATTTATTTATTTTATAAATGATTTATTTGAATTAATTGAAAAATAATTTAATGACAGTTTTTAATAAACAAATTGCATTATACTAAGTAATTATTTTTATTATTAAATTTTAAAACCGTAATAAACATTACACACAATTAACCACGTTTAATTAAAATATCCCATTTATATAACCAGTGGAAACAAAACTTATCAAATTAACATAATGAAGATGAATTTATTCAATAAAATGATTTGTTTTTAATAATTTTATCTGCAGAATTTTTTTATTCGCAATCGAGATAAATGAAATGGAACTTGATTAATTATATAGGGCGGTTCGTAAGTCAGTTAACCGTGTTTTCTTCGGTGTTCCAAGATAAAACAGCTGAACACTGGTTTGCGCCCCCCCCCAACAAGCTGGTCACGTGGAATTTTCCGCGTTTTATTCACGTTTATAACTTCTAAATAAGGGCCAGTTTTTTATAGAAAGTTCTCCCCCCCTCGGCAGATCGCTCACTTTGCCGTATACAAACAAATCCACGTGTACTTGTGTACTACGTGTTTTTCTTCTGTGTAATTGCTACAAAGCTGTACAGAACAGCAAAGTTTTTTTTTACTAGTTTTAGTTACAAAATAAGATCGAAACGTAGACTTGACAATAGTTAACTAACTTTTGGACCACCCTGTACGACAGATAAATAAAAATAGATTATTTCTACAACGTGAGGACGCCATTTTTAATGTTCTTTCGTAATTTGTTCTACTCCATGTTAAATAAAATCGAGATTTTAATATTTTAACAGCTTTCTTTTCCTGTTTTTATTATTTTTAGTACATTTTTATGGGCTTCAAAAATAGTGAACAAAATCGTGCCACCCCCATACATACTACATACACACACTAAATTCATACACAGGGGGGAAACTTATCATACTTTTCCTCTGTTATGTATACAGTACATAACAGAGTAGAGAAAGTAACAGTAAGACAGACAACGGACATTTTAACACCCATAAATGAACCGTACCAACTTCATTTACTTTTATTTAATTGCTATTAACTGATCCATTCAACAATAAATTATATTTAATAGTTGAAAGGTTGGAAAATAATCGATATTATTAATCATTTTAAACAGAACAAGTACGAAGAACACTCGTGTAATTATACTTAACTGTAGAAGATTTCATATCAAGTATTAAAGTTAGAATCGACTAGAGTAATTTGCAAGCTCTTAAATTAGTTTTCGAGTAAGGCGAATCGTACGCCAGATAGGAATAAATATCAAAAATAAGGGAGCACTCCAATAGAAATGGATTGGAGTGTCTCTCTCCCGTGTGAGAGAAAGAGAGAGAGAGAGAGATTTGCAATAGCTCTCGTATGTCCAGTTGACTTCAGAGCTGCATATCAGTGTGAATCCGTGCGAAAATACACATAAAAGACTTCTATCGATGCTTACAAACTTTTCGGAGCAGAACAAGTAAGAAAAAGTATTCGTCACC